TGGCTCAAGCTCGTGCACGTTCGACGCCGCACCCGCCGCCCTACCCAACGCTTTCGCCCAAGGCGTTCGCCCGAGGCAGGTGCGATGGTTGCGACTGAATACATTGCGGTGTCGGGTGCGACTACGGGCATGCTGAAGCTCAGCATCTACTTCGAGGAGCTGGCGTGTTTCGGGCCAGTGATTGCGGAGGTCGGTACCAACCTGTCGTGGTCCAGCGGCGTCGAGGTGAAGATGATCAAGGAGAGCATCAAAAAAGACTACTCGGTGCACGCTGACTGGGATGCGGACATCTACATCTACGAGGCTTCTCAAACCCACCCGACCGTGGCGAAGCACCCGCTGTGGGACGAGTACGTTGTCAACCCGTCCACGTATCGCACGATCAATCTCATCGCATCGAAGAGGTCATTGCTGGACCCTCATGCTGAGAGCATCGTTTCTGGCGTGAGCTGCGAGCCCGTCTGGACGTTCACGGTGAAGATTCAGGAGACGGGCGCGTGGGAGTTCATCAAAGTTCCTAACCCTGTGCTGGCTGGTCGCGGCGACTGCGTGTCGTGTGCCGTCCTGAAGACGTGGCTCGTGACCCAGCTGGCACTGCCGAACGGTTTCCAACTAATCAATGACGCGCGCATCTTCCGCAACGACAGCGGTTTGGCCAAGGGCGACCCCCTGGCGGACGATGATGACGTGTGGAAGAATCTCTGGTACTTCGCCATCGTCGACCCGAAGCTCGAGCCCCTCTGCGAGTACCCCGACCACAGCTCGCCCGACTCTCTGGCCAGGGGCTGGAACGACGTGCAGCCGACCACGGAGGCGACGCTCGAGGACGACCTAGACGGGCCGCAATGATTGCATGTGGTGAATGTTTCCCCAACGGCGTTTTTGCGCCTTTGCGCCACGGCTCTGCCGCGCGCGCCCTTGCCCAATGGGGGGGCATCATATTTTACAGCACAACAGGTCGGAGGCGGAGGTGAATACCAATAAAGTAGAAAGGGGATGAGGGATGAGGGATGAGGAGACGAGGAGGGAGAGGAAGAGGAACCATGATGAGGAAGGAGCCAGCCTCACAGGTGCCGACGGGCCAGTGCCATAGCTCAGGAGCGTGAATCCTGTGTACAGCTGTTTCATCGTTCAGACAGTTGTGGATTCCATGGCTCTTCTCGTCGTCTCATCTCCTCCTCATCCTCCTCCTCCTCCTCCTCCTCCTCCTCCTCTTGCCCATCCCCACCCTCTCAATACTATCCCATGGCGCCCAAAATCTGAGGCGCCATTGCACCCGTCATCTGCGATGACGTGAGCGATGACGGGTGACCCCGCCCAACTGTCATCCACCCGCGCCCGCGTGATGCGCGGGCTGGCGCGCGTCGGTGCGGGGTCGCCCGTCGTCGCCCACGTCGGTTCGCACATTGCGGGTGCGACGGCGCCAAGTGTAGCGTGTGTCTCACGTGCACGATTGCACCACATAGATTGCACCACATAGATTGCACCACCGAGTACATAACAATATATCCAGATGACGCCGTTTGGGGTCCAGACTGGCTGCAACACAATACGCTCAAGTCTTGGTTGATCTACCCGACGCCCTACGTCGACACCCTACCCGACGCCATACGTCGACGCATGTGGCGCATTCAAACCCTTAACCCTAAACCCTGAACCCTAAGACCCTGGATAAGAACATGCGACTGGCAACTGATGATGATGATGTTAATGCTGATGATGTTGCGGATGCTGTTGCTGATGATGCTGGTGATGATGATGACCTTCCAACCTTCTGCGCTACCTTCAAGTGCTTGTATCAGGTTAAAGCGAGTGCCAGAAGAACGCAAAGACATTCTGAGACATCGTTCCTTCTCTCCTGTTCCCGCCGCCATCACAGCCTTCACCCTCATCATCATCAGCATCATCATCCTCATCATCAGCATCAGCATCATCATCATCAGCATCATCATCAGCATCATCATCACCATTATCACCATTATCACCATCACCACCACCACCATCACCATCACGTCACGATCATCGCCAGTATTGCACCAGAGTGCTTTACTGCTAGTGCATCTCTAGGACGCATCTTCTTACTTAGCTTGTCGTTGAGGACCTGTCTGGGGGATGCGGGGAGGAGCGAGGGGTTGAGGAGGTCGCTCGCTCCGCCCCGCATCCCCCAGACAGGTCCTCAACGACCAGCTGATTAAGAAAATGCGTCCTAGAGATGCAGTGCGCAGTAAAGCACTCGAATGCAATGCTGGCGATGATCGTGACGTGATGGTGATGGTGATGGTGATGGTGCTGATGATGCTGATGCTGATGCTGATGATGATGATGAGGATGATGATGATTGTGATGATGATGATGATGATGATGATGCTGATGATGAGGATGATGATGAGGGTGAAGGCTGTGATGGCGGCGGAAACGAGAGAGAAGGAGCGGTGTCTCAGAATGTCTTTGCGTTTTTCGGGAACTCGCTGGAACCTCAAACAATTCGTTATAACCATTGTAAACCTTACGCAATTCAAGATAACTCAGCGTTTGAGGTAGCGCAAGAGGGTGGAAGGTCAGCACGGAAGGTCTGGAAGAATGAGAGGGAGGGTTGTCCATGGTCGTCGTTTATACCCCGACGTCTGGCGCCTTCGACGGACTTGCATCTTTGCACGCTGGCAGTTCCACTCAGTTTCAGTTCCTCCAGCCATCCACCTGCCGCTGGGCCGCTGCGTGAAGCCTCGGCTTGCCGCGTAGCTGTTGCCTTGCGCGTCGCCTCTGCCTAAGTCTGCGTAGCCCGCTTGGACCTGGCTCGCCGCTGGCGCGCTCGCCCGCGGCCGCTGACTAAAAGTACAAAACCAACCCCAACCCACCGAACCCAACCACAAACACCCAACCCCACCACCCCCACAACCCCCCCCCACCAAAACCCCAATCCCACCCCCCAACCCACCCCCCCTACCGCCCCACCCTACCCCCCCCCCCGACCCACCCCCCAAACCAAACCTTACACACCACCCCCACCCCCCCCCCCCAACCCCCCCGCCCCCACCCCCCAAACAAAACTAAACAAACTTATATAACTTTCGTTTCACCCCTTTGGCGGTGGTTCCGCTGCGTTCCCCACGGTGGCCGCCGGTCGACCTGCAGGCAGTGCCCCTCCCCTGGCGCCTCTCCCTGCCCAGCCCCCACTGCCCCCCGCCCTTGGGGACTAGAGCAGTGGCGCGACGCTGACAATATTGACTCGTGGGCTACCGCTGGGGCCGTGGCCCGCCTGCCCATTGCGGGCCTTCGGCCCGCTGTCGGTGTTCTCACCCCTGGGGCGCGAGATATATCCAGCGCTGCCCCTGCGGCCGGGCGGGGGCCCCGGCCGGGTCGGGGGGGTGCCGTGTGTGCCCCCTCCCCCCCGGTGGCCCCCACCCTGTACCCCCCGGCCTCATTCGTCCGGTGGTGGCGCGTGGGGTCCGTCGTCCCGTTTTTCCAATTAGCGTGGTGTCGGTCCCGTGGCGTCGGGTGGTGTTCGGTTCGGTGTCCCCCCACCGCAGCAAACAACCACCACAACGAAACCCACCGGCTTTCGTTTTGGGCCGCTTCCAAAATCAATAAAAGCGCGTTAACCCAACTACTCCCCTACTACCCGTACTACCATACACTCCCTGCAAATCGCGGTTAAACACCCCAGTACCCACGACTGTTTACCTACGGGTTAACCACTCCCCCCCCATACGGGGCCGGCGGCCGTCTTTGGCACCGCTCTGACCCGTGCGCCCCCACCACGTGTGACTGGTTCCCTGGGCTCAGGCTTGGGTCTTTCCCGTGGTGCTCCCACCCCCCGTCGCCACTTTGCGTGCTGGCTTCCAGCTCGTGGCCCGGTTCAGGACCCGGTGTGGGTCAACCTGGCACCACTTCACGCACTGGTTCGTGGTGGCCCGCGCCATTTTGGCTGCGTCGCAGCACCGCTGTTTCCCGCAGTCGTGCGCTCTGTTGCCTCGGGACTATGCGGTTACGGCCTCTCTGGGATCTAGACCCTGACCACTTTCTCGCCTCCTGGCTTTTAATTCTAGGCCGACGGTCCTTCGGGCCACCCTGGTACTCACGCACTTGTCTGGGGTTGCGTCCTTGCCTTAATCTCGGCTTCTGGCCCGGGTCGTCGTGTGTCCCGATTCCCTGGTGTCCGACGCTTTGCATTCTTGCACGCTGGCAGTTCGACTCCGTTTCAGCTGTCCCCCCACCCGCCGGTCCGCCGCTGGGCTGCTGCGTGAGGGCTCGGTTTGCCGCTGTAGGTGTAGCCTCCCTCCGTCGCCTTAGGTTAATTCGTCGCTGCGTGCCCCGCTTTGACTGGACTCGCCGCCGGCGCGCTCGCCCGCGGCCGCTGAAGAAAAAGTAACCCCACAAACCCATCCTGAAACGATGCCCAGAGGAATTGCCTCGATCAGGGAAGTGGGCAGCACACATAGGAAAGGCCCCCCAGTGGAGGCCCGTTGGAGCGTCTTGGGGGCCTTTTGGCGGTCCCGGACGCCTCTGAGAGCGTGTTGTGTGCCTCGGAGAGCTTCTTGGGGCCTCTTGGAGGTCTCTTGTGAGCCTCTTGGAGGCCTCTTGCGCGCCTGTTGGGGCATCCTGGGCGCCTCTTGGGACCCCCATTGAAGTGCTCTTGGGACCCTTGGGAGCGCTCTTGGAACCCTCTTGGGCCATCTTGGAGCCATTTTGAGGCCTCGGATGGCCATTGGAAGCGAAAAGGCGAGAAAACCAAAACACTGAATGGCCCAAGGTTTTGGAAGGATGTTGGCCTCTTCGGGGCATCCTGGGGAAGCTCTGTGGCCACTTGGATCAGTCTTGGAGCGGTCTTAGGGCCTCTTGGAGCATCGTGGGAGCCATTTCGAGGCATCTTGGGATATCTTGAGCCATCTTGGAGGTCATCTTGGTTTGTGCTTGCACGTGAAGGAAGTCAAGAGGGGTTTTCTATATGTCGCCCCTTTGGCTCTCTTACTCTTGCTTCACTTAGCTTCTCTGGTCCCTAGTCGATGGACGGGGTCGCCATCCCTGGCGGGGCGGCCGCCTTGCCGGCCTGGGTGGTGCTGGCGCTGGAGGCCGCGGCCTACCTGGGGCCAGGGTGGGGCCCAAGGCAGGCTGCCTGCCCTGACATCACGTGCCCCGCCTGCCCGGCGTGTCCAGAGGCGGCAGCCTGCCCTGAGGCCGTGGCTTGCCCGGCTTGCGAGCCGCCTCCCTGCGCGGCCTGCCCGGCCTGCGAGCCGCCTCCGTGCGCGGCGTGCCCTGCCTGTGAGGCTAGGGCGTGCCCGGCGGCGACGGCGGGCGAGAAGGCGGTCGAGAAGCTGGTTGGAGCGCTGCTCGGAGGGGTGGTGCACTGTCTGGTGGGAAAAGTGATAGCCAGCAGGCATGTCGACGCTCGTGGGGTGGCTCCGCGGAGACGCGGGGCGGGAGTGGTGGACTAGAGCGCTCCCAGGAGAGCGGGTGGTCTGCCGATTCTCTGACGACGACGTCGACCACGAGCGAGTGCTGCTGCACTACGTGGCAGAGGGAGAGTGGGTCATCTTGACCCCCGACGGGGACATCTACGTGGAGGACATGAGCTGCGAGAACCCCGAGACGGGGCCCTCGCGGGCCTTCCCGCTGGCGCTGCGGACGCGGAAGATGCGGAGGCTGTATCGCTTTCGAGAGGCCCTGGGGCCCGACGAGCTGGCCGACGCGCTGACACGGGGCTGGCAGGCGGCGCTGGAGATAGACGCCGCCCTGCCCGAGCCGAGGGAGGCTGTGGCTGTGAGCGGCCAGCGAGTCTCGTGGCAGGAGGCCTCGGGCAGGCTGTCGGCCGCGGAGCGGGCCAACCTGCTGCGCTTGGGCATGGCCGTGGCTCGCCTAGGCGGGAAGCTTCTGGAGGCTCCTGTGGCTGGTCAGGCCTGGATCGCCCTCAGCGGCGGGCCCGGCGTCGCGGTCGGGTCGGAGGTCGTCGTGACGGACAGCGAGGGCCTGAGCTTCGAGGGCGGGCCCGAGCCTTTCGGCGTGCTGAGGACCTCCGACGGCAGCATGGTGCGACTCGTTCGTCTGGATGCTGGAGCAGCCCCAGGACGCGTGAGCGAGGAGGCCGCGGTCTGGCAAGACCTAGGCAGAGGCCATGGCCGTGCCGCGGGGCCCGATCGCCGACGCGCTGAAGCCGCGTTGCCACTCGAGGATGATGGCCCCGTTGAGCGTGTCGGCGGCGCTGCTACGCCCGAGCTGGCGCTGCCTCCCGTGGCGGAGCCGCTGGGGGAGGAGAGAGACGCCGACGCCCGCGCGCTCTGGGTTGACAACGACGAGCAGGGCGAGCGTTTCAAGCGATGGCGGGACGTGGTAGGTGAGTCGAGGCAGGAGCACTACCCGGACGCGAAGGTGGACGGACCGCCGGGGGCTCTCCACATGCTGAAGCACATGGAGAGGCACGGAGGCGACCCGCGGCTCTGGCTCGACCTCTTCATCCGCATGAAGGGCCTGGGTCAGAATGACCGCGTGGTGCACGAGCTGAGGACGATCGTGGAGGCTTTGTACCAGGGCGGGGTATACGATCAGCTGAACATGGGCGGCCTCATGATGGTGGAGGTGTTGACTCGCCGAGTCGCCGCTGTGGTGGATGCCTACTCGGACCCGACCAAGCCGAGCTGGACGAACACACGCTTCTTCGAGGGCGTGAGCTCGGTGGAGGACGTCTCGGGGCCAGAGCTCAGGGGCTACGTCCACCGGCGGGCGAAGGAGCAGCGCGAGATAGAGCAGGCGCAAGGTCGAGCGCGTACACTACGTGGGGCGCCTGCAGAGACAGTCGACGGAGCAGAAGGAGCTGGAGGTGACGCAGCAGGCGCGGGGCGCGGTGGCGGCCGAGGCGGCCGCGGGCGCGGCCGGGCCAGGGGCGTCGCCTCCACGGGGTCATGACGGCCCCCGGGGCCGGGGGCTCCAGCCCCACCCCCGGGCCCTTTTCGCCGGGGCACGACGGTGGCCGACTGCCGCCCTCGCGTGGAGCCCGCAGTTTCTTGCCGCTCCCGCTGCTGGGCGGTGCAGGCCGCCGAATTCGCGGCAGGTCGCGCAGGGCGAGGCAGTTCGGCCGAGAGGGTCGGATTGCGTCGGAGGTCAACGGTATATCGTCGAGGCCATCAACTGGATGTCGGGCTACGACTCGCACCCTGGCCCAGCCAATGACATGCAGCGGGATGTGCTTGAGCGCTTCGAGGGCCTCGTGCGGGGCCGGCAGCCGGACGCCAAGTTGCAGGAGCCGCAGGCGGCCCTTCGGGAGCTGCTGCGGGGTCGCTCGCCATGCGATGGGCGCGGCGGCCCGACGACGGTCGCCTCCTACAGTGCAGGGCTCGTCAGCATGCCGACGGACGTGAGCGACTGCCCGCGTTTGGAGGACCTCTTGCCTGGCGAGGCCCTTACCTTCCTGCAGGAGCGCCAAGAGCGCATGCTACGAGAGACACCTTTGCCGACCGATGTCGAGCCGTACTTCGACTCGGTCCTCAAATTTAACCACAAGGAGTACCGCGGCCTGGTGCGTCGGCTTCTGTCAGCTGGCATCCTGGGGTGGACTCTGTCACCGAAAGAGAGGATTGGGATGTTTTTTGTGTGGAAGGATGGGCGGCGCCGACTTCGTCTCATAGTCGACGCCCGCCGTACTAACGCCCACTTCAGAGACCCACCTGGGGTAGAGCTATTGAGCAGTGAGGGCCTCGCCAGGATCGAGGTTCAGATGCCAGACTCTGGCTTCTCGAGCTACGAGGACCTCCGCGCCGCGTCGCATGCGCAGCAGGTGTACATCGGCATGGCGGACGTGAAGGACTGCTTTCATCGAATGCGTATCGATTCAGCCCTTTCGCAGTACTTCTGCCTGCCGCCAGTCAAGGCTGGGGCCTTTGGCGTGTCCGAGGTCGAGGGGACCAAGGTACGGGCGTCGACGGCCATATATCCTTGCTGGCAAGTCCTGCCCATGGGTTTCAGTTGGTCTCTCTATTTCGCCCAGCGGGCGAACGAGGAGGTAAGCCGCCGCAGCAGCGCGCTCCTCTGGGAGCCCAGCTTGTCAGACCATGGGCCGCCGCTCGTGTTCGCGCCCGGCGGGCCGCCCAAGGAAGTCAGGCACTATGTATACGTGGACAACTTGGGGGTCTTTTCGCTGTTCTCCGAGCTTGTGAGCGGCGTGATGAACCAGCTCACGGGCGAGTTCACCGAGCTGAACCTACTGTTGCGCAAGGACGAGCTGGTGCCGGGCATGGCAGTGGCGCTTGGCGCGGAGATTGACGGCAACCGGTTGCGCGCACGTGTGACCAGTGATCGCTTTTGGCGTTGCCGCCAGGCCGTGCGAGGCCTCCTAGCCCGCCGCCGTGTCAAGGGGTGGGCCGTGGAGGCGGTGCTGGGCCATCTGACCTTTTGTGGCCTCTGCTCGCGCGGCACTTTGTCAGCTTTCAATTCAGTGTGCGGTTTTGTGCGAGCCCACTACGACGAGGCGGCCGTGCTATGGGCCGAGGCTCGACAAGAGCTGGCCGCCTTCAGCTCCCTGATGTACTTTTTGGAGTCAGATTGGTGGCTGCCTTGGAATCCGATGGTGCAGCAGTCTGACGCCAGTCTTCATGGCTACGGGCTGGCAAGAGCCTTTTGGCCGCGGGAGCTGGTGGAGTCAGTCGGACGCGTGCCTGAGCGAGCCCGCTTCCGCCGGCGCTGCGCCCACAGTGCTCGAGAGGCGGCGCTCTGTGCAGCTGGTTTCAGCATGAGTGAGAGTGGAAAATGGGAACTCAAGGGTCTTCCCGAGGACGAGGAGGAGCTGGGCCAGTGGGACGTCGTGAGGGACTTCCCGGAGGTGCCCGCTCGGGGGCTCCGCGCAGGCCTTTGGGAGCCCTGTTTCGCGAGAGCCTGGCAACACCCCGAGGGCATCCTGACCTTGGAGGCCCGAGCCCTGGTAAGCAGCATTCATCGTATAGCCACTACGGTCTTTGGGTCTCATATACGTCAGTTACTGCTTTGTGACAATATGTCGGTCGTGCTAAGCTTCAATCGGGGGAGGAGCTCGTGTTTCAACTTGTTGGTCCAGATTCGTCGATTTCACGCAGTCTGTTTGAGCCGAAACATTCGTTGTTCGATTCGATGGATACCCAGTGAGCTCAACTGTGCCGATCTTCCCTCGCGGCTGTTCGATCCTGACGGCGCAAAGTCTACTCTTCTGGCAGAGCTGTTGGAGCTCGAGGGCCCCCGGGCGAGCCCAGGGCGGGTCTCCGCCAGGGCCGAGCCCGAGCGGGCGGCCGATGGCGTCGCGGCCCGCGATGCAGCCTGGGCGCCCTCGAGCGCCAGATGGGCGGGAGCGCTCTCGAAGCCCCCGGCAGGCCAGGCGAGGCGCGCGGCCTGGGGCGGGCCGCCCGGAGCCTGGCCTGCAGCCTCCAGCCCGCGGCCAGGGGGCGAGGCGCACGCGGCAGCTGGTCCCTGCGCCGCCGATAGCGCCGCTGCCGCTGCCGGCAGCTCGGCGGGAGCGTCAGCTGGGCGAGTCGGGGCTCTTGAAGACAGCTGTGCTGAGCCGACCCCTGCCGCGGAGCCTGGGGCAGGTGGTGGAGGACCTGACGAAGGTGCCTGTGCCAGCGGAGCCCGTTCGGGGAGCGCGAGAGAGCGTCGGCTCCTCCGACAGCGGGAGCTCCGAGCCCGAGGTCGTGACCGGCGCCGCGCGGCTGCGCAGGCTCGCGCAGTCGCAGAAGCGCCGTGCTCGCCACTACGGGACGCCTGCCGACGAGGAGGGTTTCTCTCTCCTGGAGCGGGAGGCCGTGCGGACCCCGACGCAGCGCGAGTACCAGAGGGCCTGGGACGGATGGCGGGACTTTGCCCGTCGAAGCTGGCCCTCGGTCGACATCGACGAGGTCATGAAGAGCAGAGACGATTCCGAGGTGGACTCGGCGTTGGTGAGCTACCTGAACGGCCTGTACCACGCCGGGACTCACCTCTCCTGGGCCGAGAAGCTGATGGCGGGGGTGTTGCATTTCAACCCCGACTTCTCGCGCTACGGAGCTCGGCGCCTCCCCCGGGGCTGGAGATGCCTCCGGCCTTGGCGGCGCCTGGAGCCGCCGCGGACGAGGAAGCCGTGGCCGCTGGCTCTGTGGCGCGCTATGGCGTGGCGCATGAAGGCCCGTGGCAGTCTTCAAATGGCGGTGTTCACGTTGATAGCAGTCAGCGTGTATGCTCGCCCCAGCAGCCTTTTGCTCCTGAAGCCGGCCTGCCTGGTGCCGCCGGCGCCGGGAGTGTGCGAGTTCTGGACCTTGAGGCTCTTTCCAGAGGAGGAGGACCTGAGGGACAAGACGGGCCTGGGGGACGTGTCGCTAGAGTTAGACTCGCCTTGGATTCGCTTCTTGGACTCTGTGCTGCGCCAGATGAAGAAGGAAGGCCACCCCGAGTGCCTGTGGAACTTCACGTACCCAGAGTACTGCAAGATGTTCAGCCTGGCCTCCAAGACCTGCAGGTGAAGGCCAAGGTGGTGCCGTACCAGATGCGCCACTCGGGGGCCTCGATAGACATGGCGAGAAGGTGGAGGCGGCTGGCCGACGTGCAGAAGCGCGGGCAGTGGAAGACCAACCGCAGCGTGGTCCGCCACGAGAAGCATGCACGCCTGGCAGCCACTTGGGCGACGCTGAGCAGCGCGCAACAAAACGTGTTCCTGGTCTGCGAGGCTCAGCTCGCGGACATCATTTTGGGGCGCGCCTCGCCAGTCGACTTGCGGGAGCTCGACCACGCCTGACGGGCCAGTACCTAGCCGACTGCTTCAGTGGCAAAGGAGGTGTGGGTCGTGCTGCAATGGGAATGGGCGTGCCAGCCAGATTTTGGGACACGCTGCATGGGCCAGCCGGCGACCTACTCCGACGGAAGGTCCTGCGTGGGCTGTGCTCGGACATTGCCGCTGGCCGTGTCTTGGCCGTGATGCTGGCACCTCCCTGCGGGCCCTGGACCACTGCTGCAGACCGTGTGGGTGCCATCCGCTCGGCATCGCAGCCCTGGGGTCTCCCGCCGCATCTTTTGAATACGAAGCAGCTTGCTCGCCTGGCGCTTGGCAATAAGACCATGCGTGCTGCGCTTTCCATCATCAGATGTTGTGAGAAATTCCGAGTTCCCTGTATACTCGAACATCCTGTGAATTCACGCGTGTTTGTCACGAGAGAGGTTCAGGGGTTTATAGATCGGGGGGCCAACGTAAGATGTCTCGACCAGTGTCAGGAGGGAGCTCGTTGGCGCAAGCGGACGAGATTTTTGTGTCTGGGCGTAGATGTCCAGGATAGTAGTTGTCTCGATCGACGGTGTGCCCAGATCAATGGAATCTGTAATAAGTCTGGCCGTCAACACATTGTTCTTGAGGGCAACGCCCCGAATGGTGCGCAATGGACTGCTATCGCTGCCGCCTACCCGCCTGCCCTCAATAGGAAGCTTGCCAAAGTCCTCTTGAGTGAATGGCGCGCGTCTTTATATAATCGCCCTTGCCCGCCCACCCAGTAAACATTCTTGGGAACGGCTTGGGTTGATGGTGCCTCACAGCTGAGCGCCGAGACGCGCAGCCGTTCGTTCATCGGAGTCCCCGCCGTGAAAAGACTCGGGACGTCCTGGTTTGTGCTTGCACGTGAAGGAAGTCAAGAGGGGTTTTCTATATGTCGCCCCTTTGGCTCTCTTACTCTTGCTTCACTTAGCTTCTCTGGTCCCCCGCCCCCCCGAACCCTCTCTAGCATGCGTGACCCATGCTCAGTCTCATTCTCATTTTTCTCTTTAGGTTGATGGTGCCTCACAGCTGAGCGCCGAGACGCGCAGCCGTTCGTTCATCGGAGTCCCCGCCTTGAAAAGACTCGGGAAGTCCTGGGCTCTCCCAGGTGCTCTTGAAGTCATCTTAAACAGTGCCCCCCCCCCAGGAGGCCAACATGTAGCCAACGCTTAAGTAAAACGAACAGATGTTGGAATTCTCGCCGAGGCCTCTTGGAGCGTCTTGGGTGCCTCTGGGGGGCCTCTTGGGGCCTGTTGGCGGTCTCTTGGGGGCCTCTTGAGGGCATCCTGGGGGCCTCTTGGGCGCCTCTTGGGGCCTCTTGGCCACCTCTTGCGGCCCTCTTGGGACACTCTTGGGAACCTAAGGGGCGCCCTTGGGGCCATGTTGAAAGAGATCGATGAAAGAAGGGGGGGCTTCAATTGCGCCCCCCCCATCGGGAGCTCCAAAATGGGGGCCGAAACCAACGTAAGGCTAATGATTTTGACTTTCTCGCCGGTGCCGTTTTGGACGCTCCGACCGCTCGCGAAACGCCCCGTCCAGGTCCAGGGGAGGGGTCGGGGGAGGGGTCAAGACGCCTTCCCCGCCCGCAAGCCGTCTCGCTTACTCCCCCCCGCCCTCCCGACACATACGCAGCGCCCGAGCCTGGCCCGAGCTGCAGCGCATGCAGCAGTCGTCCTTGGATGGTCATCTACTGGGGGCCAATCCGCCGCCCGCCGCCCGCCTCCGCTGCCGCCGCCGCCCGCCGCCCGCCGCCGCCGCCGCCGCCGCGCCGCCGCCGCCGCCGCCACCGCTTCCGCCGCTGCCGCCGCCGGCCGCCACCGCGGTGCCCGCCGCCGCGCGCCGCCGCGCCCCGCCGCTGCAAAAAACGCCGCCGCAAGCCGCTGCCGCTGCCGCCGCTGTCGCTGCCGCCACCGCTGCCGCCGCCGCCGCCGCCGCCGCCGCCGCCGCCGCCGCCGCCGCCGCCGCCGCCTCCACCGCAGCCGCCGCAGCCGCTGCCCCCGCCGCAGCCGCCGCAGTCGCCGCCGCCGCCGCCGCCAAGTGTATTCTGTATTGTTGTTTGAGAGGGATAGTGGGGGGAGGCCGCATCGGGTTCGCTGCGCATGCGGGGGGCCTTCATGGACCTGGGTTGGCTCCCAGTCGATTGGGGGAGGGGGTGTATATTCATAGGGAACAGTGATAAACCCGTTCCCGAAGGGGAAGAAGGGGGCGGAAGAGGAAACACCCTAAACCACCTACGCCCTAAAGGGCTGGCGGGATTAGCTATCGTGGACTCCAGGCAGTGTGTTCTAGCATGCCGTGTGGTGCAATCTGCGTGGTGCGGTCTACGTGGTGCAGCGCACGCGGTGCAACCAATGCGGTGCAAACTCTGCGGTGCAAGCGATGCGGTGGATTGGTCATATACGGTGCAATCGACATGGTGCAATTTACGTGGTGCAATTCACGTGATGCAATCTATGGTGCACACTCTGGGTGGTGTGATATATGATGCAAACTACGTACTGTAATTGATTGTTGCCGAACGGGTTGACACATTCCATGCTATTGCAAACATCCCACCCACCCACCGGCGACTTGGTTTGCAAAACCCATGCGGTGGCGATTGCGATGCATGCGTGGCGTTGGCTGGTACATCTTTGCGGCCGCGCCAACCCAAGCACCCGCGCGCAGCGGCCAGCCAGTCTGGCGCGACCGACGCGGCCGCGGTGGCGCGGGCCGCTGGGCACCTCCCAGCGGGCACTTCACTGCGAGTCGGCGACTGTGGCGGGCGCGGTACCATGGCAGCGTCGACAACGGTAGGCACGATGATGATAGTAGCGGTGTTGGTTGCGATGTTGACAACGACGAAGGCGCGGCCAGTGCGGGCGCCGATGCTGATCACGCCGACGACGATGACGGCGCCCTCGCGTCGGTGATGCAGGTTTTGGAGAGAGTTCGACATGCGCGCGCCGCCGACGCGCGATAGTGGCCCGCATGGTATCATTTGATGCGGGTCGTGCCCCCCCCCCAGCACGCGCGCAAGGGCGCGCGCATAATTTCGGCATGCGGCGCCGCATGCCCGTTTGGCACAATTCTGTGAACATTTTGAACAACCGATGGTTGTCCCAAAATTATGTTAAAACGCAGTTTTTTTGGGAAGCCTCACGTTCTGGAGTTATTTTTGGACACGGTTTCAAACCGCTACGACACCGAGGGTTTTTGAACAATGTCGGCATCCGCTCGCGAAGACGCGCGCGTATGCTCTTCGTCTCACCGTTTGCAAGGGATTCTCTCGACCGCACGTTCGCATGGGCGTTCGAACGATTTCGACATGCGCGCGCGAAGCCCGTTTGGTAGCAGTTCCTGAAGATAGTTAAAGGCTCGTGGCTTTCCCGAAACAAATTCGCATGAACGCGCGCACAGGTTTTTTTTTTTTTTTTTTTTCTTTGAAAATCCGCGTTGCGAACCTGTGTTTTTTTTGTTTTTGTTTTTTGGGGGGCACGCGATTTCGGAATGCCGTTTGAAACCAAGGTTTATTATCCTTTCGATCCCCCCCCGGACTTAACGCGCCCCCCTGGGATAATACGATTTCGCATATATATATATATATATATATATATATATATATATATATGTATGTATATGTATGTGTATATATGTGTATATATATACATATATATATATATATATATATAGTCTGCACACTCGTCCATCCTAAATATGAAATCGTACCATCCCAGCCAAACCGGGTCCCCCCCTGAGGTTCCCCTGTAACAAAAAAAAACATGCGGTGACATTTTTTGTTCCAGCATAACACTTTTCACGAATCCATTACAAAAAAATATGACGAAGTGCACACGCGCGCGTCGTCGCGCGCGCATGCCGAAAACCTTCAAAAACCGTCGGTGCGGGAAGGATTTCGCAATCGAATTTCCAAAGCACATACAAAAAACACATGGTTTCGCAACACGGATTTGTTAAAACAACTTCCGCGCGAGCTCTTGTGAAATCTTACGAGAACCATGGTTTTTCAAGATTTACACAAAATGCTACCAAACGGGTTTCGCACGCGCGCATGTCGAAATCTGTCGAACGCCCTTGCGCGTGTGCCGTCGCGAGAATAGTCTTCACAAAATCAGACGAAGTGCAGACGCGCGCGTCGTCGCGGGCGTATGCCGAAAACCTTCACAACCCATCGGTTTCGGAAGGATTTCAAAACCGTGCGTTCCAAAAACATACAAAAACCGAAGGTTTCGCAACACGGATATTCAACAAAAGCGTGCGCGCGCGCGCTCTTGCGTCGTCGTCGTCGTCGTCGTTGCCGTCCTCCCTCCTCCCGCGTCGTCGTCGTCGTCGTCGCCTACGTCGTCCTCTGTCTTTTCTCGTGTTCGTCGTCGTCGTCCTCTTTGGCGTCGTGGTCGTTTCCGTCGTCGTTGTCGCCGTGGTCGTCCTTCCTCCTCCTCCCACGTCGTCGTCGTCGTCCGTCGTCGGCGTCTCGTCGTCGTCCCTCCTATTTCGTCGCCGTCGTCGTCGTTGTCGTCGTCGTCTTCCCTCCTCCCTCGTCGTTGTCGTCGTCGGCGTCGCCGTCCTTCTCTTCCGTCGTCGTTCGCGTCGTCGCCGTCCTCCCTCGTCCCTCGTCGTTGTCGTCGTTGTCGTCGTGTCGCCGTCGTCGTCCTTCCTCCTCCCTCGTCGTCGCCTTCGTTGGCGTCGTCGTCGTCTTCGTCGTCGTCGGCGTCGGCGTCGTTGTCGTCGTCGAAGTCGTCGGAGACGTCGTCGGTGTCGTCCTAGTCGTTGTCGTCGGTGTCGTCGTAGTCGGTCTGAACAGGTTTTGCAAACCAAGTTGCGGGTGGGTGGGTGGGATGTTTGCGCGAGCAGTGGAGATGACGACTTCAAGTTCAGCAGAGTGGTTTCCCTACCTAGGCTCTGCCTAGAAGGGTTCTTACTCGGTATGCTTAAAAGGGCCGGGCAGTGGAACCCGCCCCGGGCGGTTCCCCCAAGATCCGCCCCGCGGTTCCCCC